CCGCCCGCCGCCGCCTTGGCCCCCCGCCCCGCTCCCCCGCCCCGGACTTTCAGTGTCACACGCTCAGGCCGCGTGTCATCAGAGGTCGGGTAAGTGACTTCAGACCCGCCAAGTAATTCACACCCGGCGCCTTCCTCCCTGCGGAGCCAATGGTACATTCCAGCATCAATACAGGGCCCCGGGAATTCTTTTTTCCTTCCTCTTTGGCAGCTTTCTGACTTTCTAAAAATTTTCAACAACTTTATGGGAAGGGCGGGCCGGCTCTCAGCAGAGTGCGGCCTCGCGAGGAGGCGCTAAATACATTCGGGCAGCTCTTAGGAGCTTGTGGGGAAGGAGGCGTCGTGGAAAGGTCAAAATATGAAAGCGCCCTTGCAAAAACAGGGATAAACTTCAGAAACTGGGGGCCGAGGAGCGTTTGGCGTGCGGTGCACATTTCACTGATGAAAAACGGTCGGCGTGTTTCCTTGCCAGAGGACGTTGTCATCTGGGGTGAAGCTGGGCGCAGCAGGGTTCGGCCTGGGGAGGACGGAGGGCAGGCGCTGGGCGGGGCAGCCAGACCCAGATCTTCCATAGAAATTGAGTTTGAATTAGTGTCTGGATGAATCAGGCAAAATAAACCCTCTCTCCAAAATGACTCAGCTACTACTTATACAAGAAGAGTTTTAGAGCAAGCGAAGAGTGTGCTGGTAAAAATATTCAGGAAGGTGCGAGATCGGAACTTCTCTTAGGTGATTCGGAAAATGGTTTTCTTTACTTCACCCGTTTTTTCTTTTTCACGCAGTTAAACAGTCTGAAGTTTGGTTGAATGTTTTTGGCAGAATGTTTTTCTGTTTTTTTTTTTTTACGTTTTTGAAATGTATTCATGAGCAAGGTTCACAGTATTTGCTGTGGAGGTTGCACAGAAAAATTGAGAGTCACCAACACTGAACAAATGGGAACCTCTGCGGGGTGGGGTTCTGCTCTTGTTCACCCCTGGGGACAGGGTTCCTCCATGCCCAGTGCCTGGGCGGTTTTTCCCTAGGGTCCTTGTTTTCCTCTTCTGTTGAAATTCCCCTCCAACCCTCTTTTTGGATACCCAAACTCCAACAATGAAAGTCCTGAATTATGAGAAAAAAATTCGAATAGTCCCTGTTCTCTCATATCAAATAAAATATATTATTCCCTGTTTTGTGTTTGATTCAGAAAGTAGATTGCTGTTTTCAAATGGCATAGCAAACATTGAGGTAGATTCGGCATTTTATGAGTCCGTTGGCCTTAGGGAGGTTTTCCCCCCTACGTGTGTGTGTGTGTGTGGTAAGAACACAACATGACATCTACCCTCTTAACAAAATTGTAATTGTATAGCAGAACATTGTTAACTACATGCGCCAATTCTTGAGGCCCCTTTCATTTATTTAGTTAGTGGAGTATCCATAGAGACTGTCAAAAATTGCCAATGTTGACTATATTTCAAGTCGTCACTGCGGTGTATTGGGAAAAGTTTTCAATTAGTAATAATTGCACCTCAGATAAACCGCACTGGCTATGATACTGCCACTGCCAAAGCTAGAACCTTTTATCTTGCAGGACTGAAACTCTATACCCATTGAACAACTCCTCATTGTTCCACACCCACTTATTGCACGTTCCTAACTCCAGCCCCTTTCTACTTCCTACTTTAATTATATAATAGGAATCTCCTTTCTCATATAATTGGAATCATGCCGTGTTGGTCCTTTTATGATTAGCTTATTTCACTTAGCATAGCATCCTTGAAGCTTATCCATGTTGTAGCGTATGGCAGTATTTTCCTTTTTTTTTAAGGCTGGATCCATTGTGGAATTACTGGAACATACGATAGTTTTACTTTCAATTTTTGAGGAATTTCCATATGGTATGGTATAGTGGCTGCACCATTCCACATTCCCACCAATTTTAAAATCAGTCTATTAGTTTTACTTCTGTTGAGTTGCAGGTGTTCCTTATATATTTGGGAGACTAACTCCTTATCAGATACATGGTTTGCAAATGTTTTTTCCCATTCCATGGGTTGCCTTTTCATTCTGTTTCCGTTGCTGTGCAGAAACTTTTAAATTTGATGTAGTCCCACTTGTTTATTTTTATTTTGTTGCCTGTGCTTTAGGTGTCATAGCCATGAAGCCACTGCCAAGGCCAAGGTCATGAAGCTTCCCCCCTATGTTTTCTTCTCGGAGTTTTACAGTTGTAGGCCTTACATTTATGTGTCTAATTCATTTTGAGCTGATTTATGCATATGGTGTAAAATAAAGGTGTAATTTCATTCTTTTGCATATGGTTGTCTAGTTTTCCCAGCACCATTTGTTGCAGAGACAGTCCTTTTTTCCATTGTGTATTTTTGCCCCTCCTGTCAAAGATCACAGTGCATGTGTGAATGTATTCCTCTGCTCTTTATCTGTTCCTTGGCCTCTGTTTTGATGTCTGTTTCTTCAGAAAGAGGTAACTAGAAGTAGTTATAAGGAATAGGTGGATGGTGAGGGCTAAACTCAAAGTTGAATATAAGCTCTTGTAAGGCTCAAGTTCGAAAGGATATAGAATATAAAATATCTGTACGTAATGCAGAATTAGCTTTGTGGATAAGCAACTATGGTAATTGTCATTTCAGTTGACTTTAGACTTCTTTCTACTGCCCCATTGCTAAAGAATTTATTTACTGGGGTGCTGCAAATGAAAATTTTACAATTGTTGTTAGCAAATTGGTAAGCTGGTGGTGCTACTTCAGTTTATGAAAAAAAACAACAACACCCTGTAATAACTAATAATACCAACAACAGACAGATTTAATATGTACTAGACCCTCTTCTAAGCACTGTACATATTTGCTTAGTGCTCATAAAGTCACCTGAGATAGATGCTATTATCATTCTTGGTTGAAGAGCTGAGAGAGCTTGCCCAAGTGGAAGCAACACGGAGCTGAACTATGCTGCCAGACTGTCTGGGGCTGGAGTCTGTGCTCAACACCTGGGGCAGTAAACTTTGTACAGGGCCGAGCAGTAAATACATCACTCTGTGGGCCTTATGGCCTCTGCAGCGACTACTGAATTCAGCCATTGTGGCATCCATAGATAATATACAAATGAATGAGTGTGGCTGTATTCCAACAACAACGTTGTATATGGACACCAAAATTTGAATTTCATACAGTTTTCATATGCCATGAAACATTAGTCGTTATTTTTTTCTACTATTCAAATATGTAGTCTTTTCCTTAGCCCTCTGGTACAACACAGGAAGTGGGCCAGATTTGGCCCTTGGGTAGTAGTTAGCCAACCACTGCTAAAACGCCCTCCAGGATTCTGGTTTTAAGATGAAGCTTGTGGGTAGCAGTGGCTGACTCACCCTGAGGAATGATGACTTCCCTGGGATAGGCTCCTGTGTGCAGAATGGCTTCTTCAGAGTCTTCCCCAGAAGACCAGAAGAACACTGTGCAACCTGGGCCTGTTGCCTCACCCTATGCAGTAACAATAGCCAGAGGGCAGGCACAATGACAAAGCTGACGCAAAGCCAGCTTTTAAACGTTTATCCAGGTGACATGGATATCTCTATTCATGGGCTCAGTATTCATTTCAGGAAAAAATACTAAGAACTCGACAAGAGATGAATTTACTTTTATGGTTTGGATATTCCAATGGACATGAATGGACAAGGTGGAGAGTGAGAGAAAGAAGCCACTTTACTAAGTTCTGGGCGTGTGCCAAGTATTGTACTAGAGACTTCCTCATGGTATTGCACTAAAAGAACATCACTTTCCGAAGGAGATGCGGTTACCCACATTTTATAGATGAGGAAATGGAGGCTTAAGTAACTTTCTGCAAGTTACACACCGGTCTTTGACCCTTGACCTACCTACCTTTGAAGCAGGGGTGTTTTAAAATATAAGCAAACTATAAAGATATGAAGCCAAGTTCTTATTTTTTTCATCATTGTACTGCTTTCTCAGGAATTGGGGCAAAAGAGAGGCTGCAGGAAGAAAAAATGCTAGAGATAGAAAAACTCTCCCAAGCTCATAGGTATCAGCCATCATCAAAGAGTGATACTCATGTTCTTCATTCTCAAGTATAGCCTAGAGGAAGAGTCCACTCCTTGTGTCTATTTTAATTTTGAACCAAATAAAAACCTCCATGGAATAAGAACTCATTTTTATCCTTATACCTTCATATCACAGAATCTGAGGTATGGACACTGCAATCCTCGAGTCGTTTAAAGAAACTCAGCAACGGAACACTCAAGCAGTACACGCTAGTTAAAAATAGGGATTCCTGACTGGCATGGACATTCTGGGGAGCCAGAATACTGTTTTATGTGTCCTAACGATTTACTAAATCATAGTAAACAACTGCAAGAGTTACGCAGCCATGCCACCATGATTGAGGGCTGTGGCAGCAGCATGGGTGAGGGCAAGAGCTATAGGTTTATAGCTAGGGTGTGGATCATAGTCATTTTGGGAAATCATTGGGATTACAGAAACCATTCTGTCTTCCCCAATCATGTTGTTTTATGAAGATGAGGGAACTGAGCCTGGGAGAAGGCAAATGATTGTCTCTAGCGGGCCTAGCCTGATGTAAATATTTCACTCTTCCTATTAAAGTTGGTGGCATCATTTGACTATGCCTCTCAGACAGGCTCTCGTTCTTTTGTGATATACCCTCCCCAATCCATCCATATGTTTTCAAGAACAAAGGCAGCGTGGACACTCCCTTTGTCCCTGGAAAAAAGTTAATATAAAATACTATGTGTAGTAGTATCCATGCTAACTTCCTTGCTCAGAGAAGTGGTGGAAGAAGTAGTCTAGCTACTGTAAGTAACTACAGTTGTTTCACCATTTCCT